GCTACATGAAGGTCCTACATTTTCCCGATATAACTCGTGAGTCTTTTGCCATCCTTTACAAATTTAATTTTCATGTCCACAACCAGTATGTTTCTTTTTCGTATGCGTTACCTTGATTTGCCACATTAGCTAGTTGAAGTTGGTTGCCAGTACATTTGCCAGTGTTAGCGCCCTGTGATTGAACTTGCCATGGTGCCCCCCTAAATGTGTTTTGGTCATAAGAACCTGCGAAAAATGAGATTGTAGGACATAAGTAGAATGTCATTTTCATCGTCGCAAACATGGCAAAATGTTCTTTTCTTGTTATCATGCATCATACCAATGTCTGCGTACTGCTTTAGTAGTTGCAGCAACGACCCTGCAGAAATGAGTTGACTGTACTCTGCTGCATCCCAAGGGGGCGTTTCTGGCCTTTGAGAAACCCAAGGATCAGTTCCATCTTCGTGATTCATTCTTTTCCGATTTTGTTTTTGTCAATGTGTTCTCAATCACTGCATGAACAAGAACGCATCAACAATCTGCAAAAAATGCATTTTTTGTTGTTTGCATGTAGAAGATAACACGGCAATCTTATCACATTTTCTTGCGTAGGCAACCAACACATCATGAAAATAGGACATGCACATCCACTCGCTTTTCTGAAATCTGGGTGCCAGCTATCCTTTCGAATCGATGGCAACAACCACTACAATAGGATGGCAAGCAACAGGTTAACATGGTGGCAGCTAACGGCAACGATAGGTGGCAACTGGTGTTAGACAAAAGTGGCAACTATTTTTCCTACCCCTCATATGCCAAATTTCTCCTTTCTCTCCCCTTTTTAAGGGATCCCTATGCATCCTTCATTACCAACTACTTGCACCAAACGAACCGAGAGCCTAAGCTTAACTCTAGCGTAGTACATGGCAGATCTGGTGTATGCTGCTTGGCAAACGCGAACACACACAAAAATGTGTAGTGTTTTGCCCCGATAGACCTGGTGTATGTTGTTCGAGGAGATCCAGTTGTCATCTTCGTTGGTAAATTTGCAATTTCTAAATTCTGGCCAGAAGAAGGATGAGAAACAGTAGGAGATCGGAGACTCACCTGCTTTTAGCTGGTAGTCTCTGGAGGGCGGGGTTGGAGTGGGGGAGGGGGGTGTGGTTAGCGGTGGGAAGGCCCTATGGATCTGCTCTGGTTGCCGTGGCAACCAGAGAAGGACGGCAATGGAGGTACGGGATCGAGGGGTGGAAGACGATGGCGGCAGTTTGGACTGGGGATCGAAAGGAGGCCGGGACGGCTGGGTCGTGCGGGCAGCACGGGCGTCTGGCCCGGACGTGTGGGCGGTTTTGCCACACATCGGACGTGCGGCCTGTGGCTGCGCGCGCCCGGACGCGGTCGTGCGGGCGGGTTCTTCTCCAGGCTGCACGAGGCGTGCGGTACAACCATCCGATACACCGAACGTGTGGCAGTTATCGACGTCTTTTTTTTTTTTTTGAGGAAACAGCCGCGCTAGTAACATTGAAATGACGGGAGGTAATGTTTGTGTTCCCCCCACTTGGACTCAAAAGGCAACGATCCATGGGACTTGTCATAGACATTTTCTATGGCATGCATCACACCGTCGGCGATATATTGACGGCGAAGAGACGGCCGCGCTGTACGTACATCCCAGTTCATTGCACACATGGAGCCTTCCTAGCCTTTTGGTACCATCTAACCCCAAGAGAAGTGTCGCTCACGATGACCATGGGTTGAGGGTGCTAAGCACGTCCACGTAGACGCGCTGATGTATAATGCTAAACGGGTCCACGTAGATGCACTGCTGTACACAATGCTGAAGAGGGCCACGTAGACGCACTGATGAATAAATACGGCAAGAGCCCTCTCTCTCTCTCTCTCTCGCTCTAACACAACGCACTGGAGATGAGATAGAGAGAAGGTTACTTCAGAGAAAGAGAAAGAGGAAGATAGAAAGAGAGAGCGAGAGAATGGGGAGGAGGGCGTGCAGTGCGAAGGAAGGGATGAAGAGAGGGGCATGGACGAGCAAGGAGGACGAAACCTTGGCCTCGTACATCAAGGCCCATGGCGAAGGCAGATGGAAGGAAGTCCCCCTCAAAGCTGGTACGTACTAATCCTCGCAACCCACGAATTAACGCTCTATTCTGTTCTAGTCTTCTAGAAAATGGAGTGCTAGTTGAACGTGAGTGAGTGACGCTCGCCAAATTGATTTGCAGGTCTAGGTAGTTGAACGTGAGTGAGTGACGTACGTACTAATCCGTCTGTGATCTTTTGATGAACCGATGCATTTTTATGTCTGCTCATGATCTAGGTAGTTTTTATCAATGTTGCATAGTTTAGTATGAATATGGGGGACGAAATATGAGATACACGGGTGTGAAGGCGCGGATATACAGAGCGCTCGATCCGTGCCCGCGGATGGCCTGGGGCGTATGAGGGACCGGATTTGCCAAGTTCGGATGTAGATGCTCTTAGTTACCTAAGAACGTTTCGATATCAGTCACATTTTTCAGGAACCATCGGATCTTGATCGAACGGCCCACGGCCCAAAACAGATCACACCATTCATCGTCAACCTCTCTATCACTTCTTCCTCGCGCCTCCAACCTACCCCGCCCTCCCCCCAACCTCCTCCACCGTCCCGGCCATCCCTCTAACACCCCCTCCCCCGAATAGCAGGAACCTGGTGAGCCCCGCACCCCTCCCCCGACCCCTCAGTTAAGTTTCTTCCTCACCTTCACTTGGGAGAGTGGCAGCCTCGGCGTGGCCAACTTTTACCGCTGCCACTCCTCACGCCATTCCCACCTTCAGCCTCATGCATAGCAGAAATTGATTGATGCCAAGAAAAAAAAAATTCAGACACCTGAGATTTAGCAAAACCACAAAAGAATTCGATTACTTGTGTAGTTTTCAAGAAGAATGGGTAAGCTTATTAGCGTCGTTATTCGTTACATGTGCAGGATAATGATGCATATGAAAACGGATGGATGTCGGTGTCATTACTTTGTTGCAACTCGATCTACTTCCTTTGTTTCTAAATATTTGTGTTTCTAGATATTTCAACAAGTGTCTACATACGAAGCAAAATGAGTGAATCTATACTTTAAAATATGTCTATATACATCATATGTGGTAGTTTATTTGAAATCTCTAAAAAAACAAATATTTATAAACGGAGGGAGTAGTATGGTACATAGATTTCCTCACTGTAATACCTGCTCTTTGCAGGTCTCCTTTCCTACATAGTTGACCCGTGTCAAACGACGAAGCGATTACAATGAAGGTACACACATAGGGAAGCAGACACCTCCTACTCGATCACTACCTACCGTCCAAATTAATCTCTTAGATGGAGTAGAAAATTAATTCTCTAACAAATGTATCAAAAGGACATGACAACCGTAGCATTTAATTTCTTTTGGATGTTACCTTACCAGATGGGTTGTCACTGAACATGACTTGCACAAAAAGGACAAATGGTGGCCGTTTTCTTCAACATGAAAGCACAGTGATAAGAAATTTGAAGGCCGATGACCACTGGTTAGCCGTGAGCCTTTGTCTGTGGGTGTGACCCATGCCGGAGCACGCACACACAAGTGCCCATACACGGTCGAAACCATCCATGCCATGCCAGTGCACGTACAAATTCGAAAGCAAGCCAAAACACACGTGCCATTTTTGCATGTGTGGTCACTGGTCTACAATGTTAAAACCTTGTGTTTTATTTTCATTTTCTCTTTTTGAGAATATATTAATCTTTTCTCTTGCCGCAAACTAAGCACTCTACATGAAGCCGATGGATACCTAACACTGCACGCCTAGTCATGTTCACCAAGCGACAGATCAGGAAGATTATTGCCTGGGGATTGGTGACTTTCTCATGTCTGTCCATGGATGGAACACGCAAATGGTCGATCAGCGGTGGTGCCGAGGGTTGGATCTCCCCGGACTGAGCCTCTTGGAGGTCCCACAGACCGGATCGGCGATCTCTTGCAGTGGCCGTGCTGCGGCCGTGGTACTCTCCTACTCTAAGACGAGCTCCTTAGCCGAAAGGTGCCCCAGCCAGCCAGATGCAGGTAGTGGAGGGTCGTTGGCAACTTCCCCACCGCAGCACCAGGGATCAAGGCCACCGATACGCTCGCAGGAGCGGGCCGTGTGTCAAACTTCTCTAGTTTTAGAGTTTTTTTTAGCATCAGTACAGACACGAGCGCCTATCATTTTAAGATTTACGAGGCCATCGTAGGCGCCTCGTCGTCGACATGAACGTCTCCTTCCATTGAAAGCGCATCGCCAAAAATCCTAAAATAAATCCAAGAATAAAGCGAGCACCGGGATTTGAACCCTGGTGGCTTGGAAATATCACTGTATACCTAACCATCTCAATCACAGGTTAGTTCACCTCTAGTTATAGAGTTGACGGACGAAATCCACGCTTATCAATTTGTCGAGGGACCAAAAATAGACTTTTCTCATTAGTAAAAGCTCAACCTTCTCTCAGCATCTGGTGGGAAGGAACCTTGGCATGCCTCTGAGGCTCTGAGCACCCGCAACTTCCGGGGAGTCGACTGGCAGCATGTCCCTCTTCTAATAGTAAATGTTCGTGTTTCCCCCCACCTAGACATACAAATGCAACGATTCTTAGGACTTGTCACAGAAATATGACATCAATCAAACCTGCCGGCGAAGAAACGGCCGCGCTGCGCATCCCGATTCATTGCACACATGGAGCTTTCCTTGCCTTTTGGTCCATCCACCTCTAGAGAGAAGTGTCGATCACGATAACCATGGCTGAGGGTGCTAAGCAGGTCCACGTAGACGCGCTATTGTACAATGCTAAACAGGTCCACGTAGCCGCGCTGCTGTACAATGCTGAACGGGGCCACGTAGACGCGCTGATGTATATAAATACGGCAACAATCCTGCCGCCCACAGATGAGATGACATAGAGAGAGGTTGCCTCAGAAGAAAGAGGAAGATAGAAAGAGAGAGAGAGAGAGAGAATGGGGATGAGGACGTGCAGCGCGAAGGAAGGGGTGAAGAGAGGGGCATGGACGAGCAAGGAGGACCAAACCTTGGCCTCCTACATCAAGGCCCATGGCGAAGGCAGATGGAAGGAAGTCCCCCTCAAAGCCGGTACGTACCAATCGATCGCAATCCCTAGTAAAGTTATGTTGTTCTAGACAATCCGGAGCTACCTCCTAAACGTGAGTGAGTGACGCGCACCAAATTGATTTGCAGGTCTGCGGCGGTGCGGCAAGAGCTGCCGGCTGCGGTGGCTCAACTACCTCCGGCCGAGCATCAAGCGGGGCAACATCTCCGACGACGACGAGGAGCTCATCGTCAGGCTCCACCGCCTCCTCGGCAACAGGTGGTCCCTCATCGCGGGCAGGCTGCCCGGCCGAACAGACAACGAAATCAAGAACTACTGGAACAGCACCCTTGGCCGGAAGGCGCTCCCGGCGCGACTGGACACCACCAGGACGGTCGCCACACCCTGCCCCTCCGCCAGCTCCGGCTCCTCCACCGGGGCGTCGACAGCATGGCTTTCCTCTAACTGCGGGGATGGTACAAGTGCCAAGGCTGCGGGGCTGCTGTCGTCGGCCTCGGTGTGGGTGCCCAAGCCCGTGAGGTGCACAGGCGGTCTCTTCCTCAGCCGGGATGCGCCGCCCCCGCCGGTCATGGAGACGCGGGCCGTGGGAGGAGACGCAGATGAGTGCAGCGGCAGCAGCTTGGTGGCATCGTCGGGCGGTGGCGACTGGATGGACGACGTAAGAGCCTTAGCGTCGTTTCTCGAGTCCGACGAGGACTGGGACTGGGTCAAGTCCCTGCAGATGGCGTATTAACGCTCACAATCTTTTTCAGCACAGCACATGCACGTTTATCACTACGTACGAACAGGGATTTGTATTGTATGTGCAAATGTACGATACAGCTCCTTGTACGTACGTTGCCTTCGGGCTGAGAGCACTTGACTAATGAGAGTAGCTACCTGTGACTTCTGATCATACTCACACTCTCTCGAGCTGTTTAGATGGATGGTGTCTGAGTGGGTGTGTTCAACCGAATAAGTGTATGTGTGCCTACACGAGCATCCACATTTTGTATTGTATTTCTAAATAAGAATCTAATTATACTTCAACGTGGCTCTAATTTTTCTGCTTCGAAAAGGAGGATATCTGCCAACCTCCTTTTTTTGATAAAGATATCTGCCGACCTCTGCATCGAGAAGTGGATGGATCTAGATGACAATAAATGCCTAAGAATTGGATGGACGTCGTCGGTGTCGTTGGAGACGTACTTTGTTGCAACGCTATGATTTCCTCACTATATAGGTGTATGTTTTCTGCACAGTTGACTCGTGTCAAATGCAGTTGCGAACCCACGTTCAAGCAGTGTGGTCACTTGACCACACAACATTTTGGTGAAACTCTTAAGTGCAAGTAAAAATTATGCAGAAGATGGAAGAAAATTTGTAAATACACATGTATTTGACATCGCAAGTTTAAATTGACATCACATACGTGAACTTCTGGCACGGCCACTGGTCAAATGGCAAGGGAAACAATGCTTTGTTTTACGATTACAAAGAAGACACCACAACAAACATCTCCCACTCTACCAACAATCCAAGAGGTGGCTCCTCGTGAAAAGCATTCACAAGAAAATGGCCTACCCGCGGTGGTTTGATGGCAGTGTGTTGTGTTCATGATGATAGTAATGCCATGACTATCGTTGACCCCACTGGCGACATAGCCACTGGGAGTTGTTTTCCTTTTGTTGAGGCGTCGTCGAAAAAGCTACGGGCCTCTTCAACCTCAACTAATAAATACCCCGTGAATTTCACTGGATGTGCCCTCTTCCTTTTTGTTTCTAATCTAACCCCGCCACATCAGTTCGCAAGAGTCTGCCTGTAGATGTAGCTTTACTCTCTCTGTATTAATGTAATTGCTTTCCCAGCGAAAGCCCTAGACCCAGCTTTGTTGGATCGGGAACGGCAACCGCAACAAAACATATATGTGAAACGAACACATAGATACTCTCTTCGATCCAAATTAATTGTGGCAACTTTAGTTTATTACTAAAATTGTACTAAGACTGGGACAATTAATATGAATCGGAGGGAGTACATTGGTTTGATAGATCGATGTTTGGTAAAGTCCTAAAAAATTTCTTCTAGGGTTATTTTGTACACCTTCAGTTCCAAAATAAGTGATGTGGTTTTAATTTAAATTTAAGCTAAAAGCACGAGACACATTTTGGAACTAAGGGAGTAGCATTTTTTCTTTGTGGGTGAAGAGAGTAGCATTTGAAGACCGTTCCGTCCAAACATTTAATGAGTCTCTGTCTGTTTCTTTGCGGGGGTAATTTGTACCTAGAGTAACAAAGAAAACAATGATTTGACAAATGCGTCAAAAGGTACAGCCTCGAGGACATGACAACTATAGCATTTAATTTCTTTTGGATGATACATTTAATTTCTTTTGGATGTTACCATACCAAACGGGTTGTGAATGAATACGACTGGTTAGCATTTAATTTCATTTGGATGTTACAATACCAAATGATGGCCGTTTTCTTCAACATGCACAGCATAGTGATAAGAAATTTGAAGTAGATGGCCACTGGCTAGCCGTGAGCGAGCCTGTGTGCGTGTGACCCATACTGGAGCACGTATACACAAGTTAGTGCCCATACGCGGTCGTGCCAGTGCATGCATGCATGCACAAAGTGAAAAGCAAACCAAAACACATGTGCCATTTTCGCATGTGGCCACTGGCCAGTCGACATATACATATGGCAGCTAGGTAGGTAGGCATGTATATCACTAGTAGAAAAACACCTAATAGTCCCGGTTCGTAAGGGCCTTTAGTCCCGGTTCATGAACCGGGACTAATGGGCCGTTACTAATACCTCCACCCATTAGTCCCGGTTCAAATACGAACCAGGACCAATGTGCCTCCACGTGGCCCTGTGCGCCGAGCCCAGTCAGGGGTCCTTTGGTCCCGGTTGGTGGCACCAACCGGGACCAAAAAGCATCCACGTGCCAGCATTCCATTGATTGGGGTTTTTGTTTTTTTTTTGAAAGGAGGGGGGGATTGGGGGTTTTGGGGGGTTAATTTACGTGTTTCATATATTGTGTTAGCTAGCTAATTAATAGAGAAAAGTGTCCTCTCTTATGTCCGTGCTTGGTCGACTCTACGTACTGTATATACATAAATGATCGAGAGAACCTTTCAGTACAGAAGTTCATGCATACCGAGAGAAGTGATCGATCGACCTCTCTCCTTCTCCGAGAGATTGGTCGAACAACAAGTATCTGACGCTACTGGCTACATACATGCATGTACAATATGTATAAGATCTCTTATAATTACAATCCCCTAGCAATTGAAATCAATTTCCACATGGTATTCTCCGGCTTTATTGATGACGTGGTCAAGAAAGAATCCCGTCAATTCCTCTTGAATTGCTTTCATGCGATCTGGTTCTAGGAGTTCATTCCGCATCTGTCACGTCTAATTTGAAGAAGGGGGTTAATTAATACATATATGAATGAAACTCAACAGAAATGATGGTGTAATAAAATGAAATTGTGAATATTATTGCTTACGTACTTCATATTGTCTTTGAGAGTAGCCCCGCTTGTTTTTTAAAGTCGCGTTGTGGATGAACTTGCACACGTAGTATCCACAGAAATCATTCTCTTCTTCCTGCCACAAGCACTTTACGAGAAATAGAGGTTAATCAAACTGATAATGAAGCATTATAAATGGCATTGATGAAAGTATAGCTATAGAATCAACGGGAGATGCGCGCAACTAGCTAGCCATTAGTACTTACTTTCGGGTATGTATATCGCGGCTCCTTCGGCAGTCCCGGAGCTTCTGCGGTGAACTGTTTCCAAACCCTGCAAGACAAAGAAAATAATTATTATTACTTGAGATATCAGGAAATGAACAAAAAGTTGCCGATATGGTGCGATAATGATCGATTGAACTTACTTGCTGAGCATTTCAGTCATGTCCGCATAGGATTTGGGATCTTTCCGTCTCGAGTCTAAGACGGTTACTAGTCCACACTCAAGCTTAATCTCCAGAAGAATATAGTGGTACCTGCGCACGCATGCATAACTCATCAATTACATTACTATAACCTCGCTCGAGTAATAAGGGAAACCGAATATGCACACGACAGTAACACTCGCCGTTGTAAGGAAAGAGTATGGTATCTTTGTTTTGATTTTTTATCAATGATTGTAGCACGTTGTCCTCAGCCTCTTTGATGTCCTTTTTAACCAGAAATTCATCTATGATATTTGTGTTAATGAACCCAATATCATAAATTTCTTGTTTTTTGCACTCGACGATCTTCAATCTGCATAATATATTGAGGATAATTAATTATAAATACATGAAATGAAAGAGCCGAGCTATATATAGAGACTTAATGATAGAAATAGTACTTACAGACAGTAGCAAAAGACCATTAGTTTATCGAGGGCCTTTTGATTGAAGAACGCGAAGAACTCATCAAATGGAACAGTCAATAGATCATTTGCAACGAGATCGTGCTCCTCTTTAATACGCAGATGCAAAGCATTCTTACCCTCAAACTCTCTGCAGGTTTCCATGTACCAATTATGGAATCTTCGCATCATTGTTGTCAGAGATTTTTCATCTTTGACGAGAGGCTACCCGTACTAGTATCTGTGTTCGTCCACCTCCAAGAAATCAGGAAGTGCATCGTCAGGCAGGTAATCGTCAAGATTGCCATAACCGGCCACCGTCCCCGGAGCATTAGACACATTGAGCAGGGGGCACGATTGCTGTGCTTGTTCGCCGAGCTGGGCAATTATTTTCCCCTTTGCTCGTTCTTTTGACCTTTTAGCACTGACAGTAGTTCCCGACCGCTGGTCTTGGAGATATGTCTGTTCAGTAATGCGCTCATAGTTGGTTCTCGGCGGAGACTTTGGTGGTTTCCTCAGGGCATCGATAGTGCGCTTTGCTTTCACCGGATCTACCTTCTCCTCCGGAGGTGGATGTCTCTTTGCTTTCACCCCTTCAAAGAACTCCTTCACGTGGGTCCGCACAATCGTATCGTTTTCCTCCTCGGACCTCTCGTACGGTAACTTCTCTAGAGGCTTGAGAGATGATGGACCGTATTTGTATTGCCTCCCGCCTCTGGTTGTGCTGCTAGACGCCGGAGCAGACGGAGCGGCTGCAGCGTCTGTCTTCTTTCGTGCTTGCTTACGAGGCGGAGGAGAAGGAGTACGACACGCCGGAGCAGCCGGGGTGGCGGCGGGTCTCTTCCGCCCTTGCTGGCAAGGCGGGGAAGGAGGATGTTGCTGGCTGCTCGGGAGCGCCGGCGCAGGCGGAGAAGGAGGTGGAGTGCCGCCGTGCGCCGGAGAAGGAGGCGGAGTGCCGCCACGCGTGCCCTGATCGTCACTCGCCGGAGGAGGAGGCGGTGGAGGAGGCGGAGTGCCCTGACTTGCCGGAGCAGGAGGAGGAGGCGGAGGCGTCCAGTTCAGAAGGTTGATGAGCTCCTTCTTCCATAGGCATGGAGTCTTCAGAGCAGAACCCAACCTAGTCTCCCCTTCACCGGTAGGGTGGTCAAGCACGAGGTCCTCAAATCCCTCCGTTATTTCATCCACCATCACCTTAGCATATCCTTTTGGAATCGGCTGGCAGTGATAAGTTGTGCCGGGTCCACTAGGATTAACTTGGCCAACAGCCGCCTTGACCTTCAAATTCATCCATCGCGCCATCATGTGGCAATTTTGAGACTCCGTGATACCATCCACGGGATAGCTGGCAGGAGCCGTCAAGACATGCTCCGGCTGAAG